GGGGTGGCAGCACGAACCCTCTTTTTTCCTTTTTTCTTTTTTTTGAAACAAAGGCGATCCAATTTATTCAAAAAGAATCAAAATTAAAAATCGAGGCCGGGGACCAAAGCACCCTAGTGTGACCAAGCCATGCAGTCCAAAATGCACTGTCCATGGGAGTCTTGCCCAGAGCTTAAGCCCTCTGAGAGCCTACTCACATTAGCACTTTCCAGAATGCCTCTGACTGCAATTACGGCCAGACCGGGATGCATCTGACCGCAATCACGTCCATAAATAAGTAAAAAAAAAACTGCTACCGGTAGTCTGAGTATGCCCTGAGTCTGCCAATGGAGTCCAGACCAAGCCATGCTTCAGTGTGTGGTCCAGCAAAGATCCCTCCCTAAGTCATTTCCATAAGACGGTCACTCATGGAACACACATCACAGAATGTACTTTTGCGCGCCTTTTTTTTTTTTTTTTTTTTTTACTTTTGAGTGCCTTGAACTGCCTTCATTAAGATTTCAGGCCACAACACCACCACCAAATAAACAACCCATTTCCTTTCACACAACAATCTGTCATTTGACTCGTTTCCCTATTCGTTAACCCCTCTCCCTCACTACTACAGTCTTCAACCGAATCGAACGCCCTGTCATTATAGCTGTATTTGGGGCACTTTTTTTCAGTACAGGTTCAGCACTAATGACCGGGCGTTCTATTCGGGTGAAGACGGTAGCATTCCCCTTATCTGGCACTCTCTGACCCCTTTCCACAACATTTTTGATGGTGGTCCCAGTCAAATACAGACGACACTCTAGACGTTCCAACTGCTCCACAAAGCCACACCCAGCGACTCAAATGAAAGCCATGGCCTGAATCCCAACTGCTCCACAAAGCCACACTCAGCGACTCAAATGAAACTTTATGAAAGCCATGACCTGAAGCCCACATATGTCAGCAGGAGCCCCACTGCCTAAAGCACCCTGGTTCTGGCACAAAGGGAATATCCCCATAGCAAAGAGTACTAAAGACTATCTTTCTTCTTCTTCTTCTTCTTCTTCTTCTTTTTTCTTTTTCTTTTTCTTTTCTTTTTTTAATCACCCCGTTCGGTGCTAACATTAAAGACTATCTAGGGCTTCAGTCCAACGAACTATCATCCTCAGTTGCATGAATGATATTGCAAAATTGGCAACAATACTTCCACGATTCCAATTTGTTCTATTCATGATCTGAACCAATCCTTCCAAAATGGAAGAGTGGCCCTGTATTTCTCTGGCCAACAAATACGGAAATGTGAAGCACGCCATGCAAAAATCAAAGCACCAACAGCATAGCACAGGCCAGAAAATTGTGGGTGTGAGAAAGGACCACTGCATCAAATGCACGCGTACATGTGCTGCAACCCACCACCAGAACGTGTTGATGGGTGTCAGGGAGAGTGCAAGGGGGAGGAGGATGTCACTTCACATTTGCGACTGGGCATCATGTGTCTGTTCGAGAAACAGAGAGAATGACATACAGGCAGATAAGGGGGGAGCGTGGAGAGGAAGGAGAGAGAGAAGAGAGAGGGGAGATGTGTGGAGGGGGTGAAGAGAGAGGGATGGGCGCAAGTGGAGCGGGGCGTGCATGGAGAGGGCGGGGTAGAAAAAAAGAGGAGGGGG